TTTTTTTTTTAATACAATAGCGAGTGAAGGGAGGGGAGGGGAAGCATAATTGTTTGAATAGTTTTGGAAACGTTTTGCAGTAATCGGGGAAATCTCGTGGAAATATTACCAAGACTTGAGTCCCCACAATTAATCCCTTTAAATTCAAAGATCGCCATCGCCACTTTAATATATTTCTCATCTGATGATTTTCCAGGCTCTTTCTCTTTTCCTAGTTTTACGACAATGATTGGTAGTAACTGAAATCGATAAAAAATGGTACGTATTTAGCAGTACTGAAAAAAAAATCGAACTTTCAAACGAGCCAATAAGTAAAGTTTTTTAACATGATATATGCTTAACAAAACCTTAGACGATACAATTGAAAAACGCAATGACCCTATTAAAATTATCATGACTTAGACAAAAAAGGCACATTTCAATAACTGGATTAAAAATCCCCTCTAGGAAATATCTTTATGTGATAATTATATAATTGGTATGATTTATTGAATTAACGTTAAGATTAGACTTTTGGAATCATTTACAATACAATTTCAAGCTTGGACAACCAACACAAAAACGAAGAATGTATGAAAATTCTAACCAGACTTTTTCTCTATTACTCATTTGTCGCAATGTGATCACATAGCATCACAACCTTTTTTTTGCATAACTCGACTCGCAAACACATGACTTTTTTTGCTTACGTCATATGACGTCTACCAGGATGTCCAGTCCTCTGCCGCGCAGACATCAGACTATTATCATAAATTCCTCTGCACTTCTTAACATAGGGTGCGACCAAATATTTTAAACAGCGACTTCGATGATACTATTCTTCCTAACTATGGACGTATTTTTGCAGGTTTTGTTTGCGTTCAGAGAACGTCTCTATCATTGGTTCTTCGTCATTCTGCTGTTAGTGTCTTATTCATCAGCCCAAGAAGGTAAAAGTAATTTTTCACCTTTCAAAGACAGAAGTGTTTGTAAGATTTGGAAGCGGAATCATGAACGTTGACTCAACCTATTCTGTATACAAGGTGTTTGCTCCGTCGGCACATTTATTTTTTTTTTTCACGTTAAATACTAATGTAATGGGATTGAGTTCTGTTGAGTGTGAGAGAAGCTTATTACGTTAAATTTGTTGAAATGCAAAGCTTCAGTCGGTTTGCTTAAGCACAATATTTCGATATTGTACTCTATGGCTTCAACATAAATCGGCCTCCGCAAAGTTTAGTCGAATTCGTTGCATTTAATTTCTGACCAAAGGTAAACTTCGTTTGTGTAACGGAGATACAAAAAGAATTACGCAAGCTTTCAAACATACAAGCTTAATTTACGCACAGGTGCTAGTTAAACACTACTCATGAGTCGCAATAATAATAATTTCCTAATATATATCTTTAAAATATTTATATACTTCCTATTGATTTGGGTTATGCATGTTTTACGAGGTGAATTTTCCGCGATGGTACGTGACTGGTGTCTGTATTTTGAAAATATCAGTTTACATCGAGCGTTAGTGTTTTAATACAATGACATCTATCGGCTGGTTTGTTTATAAACGACTTCGGAACACGCAACGCAAATTGGAACTGTTTCTTCTTCACAGTTCCACTCTCAGGTTGAGCAAGTCATCACCTCTAGTCATTCTGTCTTTCTTCCCAAAGCGCTAACTATAGATTGTATAGCAGCACTGCATACATTTCAACTGAAAGATTGAGGAACGATCACTCGGTTTACTGATAGCCTGAGTGTCTGTCACTGTCATTTACTTGGCAATATACATCATTAGTTGGTAGGTAATGGCTATCAAAACATGGTCAGTAGTCTGTACAAATCAGAAATTTTAAGTTTTTTCACCTCCATAATTATGTTCAGTGGATATGTTTCGACATCTTTTTTCTCCTTGTACCAGATGTTAAATACCAATTAGTATAGAACTGAAGCTTTCTCTTCAAGTCCCCCACCCACTTGTCACCAATTGGCCACCTTTGCTTTTCTCACTTGCCATGGTATCTGAAACAGGCACATCACACAATAGCACTGTTATTGTCAAATTTGGACTCTGAATGAGAAGGGACGGTTTCCAGAAATGGTTTGGGGCTCTAAATAAGACTTGTGCCCCTCTCCATCCAGATGACTGCACTTCCAAGGGAAAGAGTCTCTAGTCAAATAATTAAGGAGGATAAACCTTCGTTAGTGCAGCGTTTCTTTACTGTAGGACATTTCATGTATCTGTTCTATGTCTTTTGGTGAAGAAAGATGAACTTTCAACCGAAGTTGTACGAATCTGGTACATGTATGTTTCAATATTTACTGATGTGGTATTTTCTTTCCCAGTAGTACCTGAAGCCCCAGCGGATGTCAAATTGGTCACAAAAGGCTCAAAGACGGTAGATATATCCTGGATGGCTGGTTTTAAAAGAAACAGTACCATTCAGAACTACACAGTGGAGATAAGAATAGATAAGGAGAACTTTAGCGATGTTGGTTGTCAAGGAACGCTCTCAAATGGTTCCTGTGTACTGTCCAACTCCTCCACAAGTGCTTCTCTCACAGGGCTTTTTCCTTTTACAAAGTACTTTATCAGAGTGTTTGCAACAAATGCAGTTGGCAGCAGCAAAAGCAGTTCTATTGTGAATGTTACTACAGATGAAGAAGGTACTTTCAGGTTCATTGTTTCCCTATTGGTAATGACACAGACTAAATAATGAAAAGCTCAAACTGTCAGTAAAGGGGGTGTATCTCGATCGTTGTTTTACGGGACTTATTTTTATTCTTTTGGCTGGAAATTAAATTATGTCCAGAAGTAATCACTTCCACGCAATATTTTGTGAATGTTACTGGAAATGAACATCACCCACTGGAATATTGTTTTAAACACTCTTGCCTCTCCTTCTCAGTCGCTTTGTTCTGATATACCTGTGATAAACCTTTGATATACCTTTAAACGGCCGTGTAGCTAGGTAACATTTTTCAACATCGAAGATTGCATGACAACATTGCATTATGGTGTTGCCTTTAGAACCCAGTAGCTCGCCACAAAGTGTTCAAGCTAGCTCCAAAAATTCCACAAGTGTCTCTGTAAGCTGGGCAGCGGTCAGCAAGGACCATCGTAATGGAATCATCAAAGGATACAAAGTAATTTATCAAGCGTTACCGGATGGGAAAAACGCTATAAGGTTCATCAACATCAGCAATAAGCATCAAGATAAAGAGCAAGACATAACTTTGGGCGATCTCGTCAAGTTTACCAGCTACAGCGTCAGGGTGTTAGCATTCACTGTTGTCGGAGAAGGACCACTGAGTAAAGTCAAAATTGTTCAAACACAACAGGACAGTAAGTTACACTCCAGTAGACACTGCTATTAATTAATATTTAGGCTTTCCCCCATAAAATGACATTTCCAGTAACCAGTCTAAATTTCACGAAATATTCCTGCCCCCCCCAAAAAAATGTCACTTGAACCAATACTATTGTTAATAAATTTTCCAAGCACTTCGCACATGCTTTGACGTTTTCTACCAATCAAATTGCCTTAATCGACTTCACCCAATCACGTGCCATTTCCTTATATACATCTGTATTTTATCACGTATTCCACACGCAGGGGGCAACGTCCAGATAAAAGACAGCTCCCCCACCTCCCCCAACGTTGTAATGCCCACGTCAAAGCCTTTGAGAGATGATTATTTCTTCTTCGTTCAATGTATTCTCACCAATTCGAAAAACGTAGAACGCGAAATAACTTTGGCTAAGGTCTCCTGGAGATAAAATAGAGTTTGCTTTCCGCATCAAAAAAACGCTCGTACCGAAGCCCCAAATTATGAGGGCGTCGCGTGACGAGACCAAACAAGGGGTGCGAAAGAGACTACAGAAAGCGTGACACCAAATCTAGTTCATTTCTGCTTAAAATTGTACAGACATCAGTGACAACAGACCACAGAATACTTGTGTCTGAGTTTATTTCATTTAGATCGGAAGGGTCCTTTTTTCTCTCTATCGAAGGTGTTTTTGGAAACTTTAATTTCTTTTACAAAAATGAAAAAAAATCAGTTATTCAAATTGTGCCATTTTAACTTATCCATCCCAAGGAAAAAACTTTTCCATGCGTGGCATGCCTTTGTTTAGATAAAGACAGTGAAATGTTTGCACGTAATAAAAACTTGTATTTGGCGAATATAATAAATGATATCAAAGGAATGTTATAGAGTGGTAATCGATCCTGGTGTCGTGCAATTTCTTTCCGAAACCATCCGTTTGATTTCAAATCGAACTCACGCTGCGCACAAGTTCAATTTTGAAATCACGCATATGACTCAGACCGAATTGCATTCCATTCGCATCAATTACCATTGTTAATTGAAAAATCAACGGTCAGGAGTACACTCTTTATTTCTTTTAAAAATTACATCTGAAATAATTTAATTTCGCTCCTTGAACTTTCCTTTCAGAACCTTCTGCTGCTCCTTTAAATGTGACAGGACATAACACCAGCTCAACCAGCATCTTAGTAGTGTATGGTGATGTTCCGGCTTTTGATCAGAATGGTATCATCAAAAATTACACCATTACTTACCGGTCACTAACAGAGGGTCACAATGGGAGTGCTATAGCTGGCCCCAGTGACCGTCAAAAGGAATTAACAAATCTTAGAGAGTACGTCGATTACGAAATCACAGTACTTGCGTCGACTTCGAAAGGAGATGGACCACAAAGTAACCCTATTCTTGTTAGTACAGACGAGGATAGTAAGTACTGTTCTTTTCCAAATCGCTTGTCTATGATAAATGTTTCGCCTTATGTAAGGTAATCCGGATTCCGGAATCCAGGAAATTTTTGCATGTGGAATCCGGAATACTGGGCATTGGAATCCAGAATCCAGCTTTTGGAATCCAGAATCTCGTTAAAGAATGAATCCAGAATCCATTCGCTGAAAATCCATTTCAAATCGCATAAATGGCTTTCACACGCACGCATCCATGCAACCACGGTCATGCTAAAATGCAGACTTGCAGACCACGCAAACCGTGCAAACCATGCAGACCGCGCTTTGTTCGCCGGAGAATTTCGCGATTTTGTTTTGCCTCGTAAAATTTCGTCATGTGGTGTCCAAAACTTGGAAACAGTTCATACGTTACCAAAAGAAGAAAAAGGTGTATACACCTGAATCATGTGTAAATCACAGTTAAAAAAAACAACAACAAAAGGTGCACAGCCTGCTCGGTCTGCAACCGCTGTACAGTTCATTCACGTTGTCGATGGGTATGTAAATTTAGAGGGACTAAAGAGATTGTCTACATAACAACAGCGTCCAAATCCCACAGGATTTACTTGGATTCCAACATAGCGACGGACCACACGTTAAAAACCTTTAGAATCTTTGCCCTGGAGAATGTGACTTGACTTGGCTGGACTTATAAAGAAAGGAAAAAGGAAGTATAGAAAAGAGAATCTGCTATTCTTGAAAAATTACCGTGTAAATGCAGATCTTTCGCGATTTTGCAAAGATTTTAGTAAAGTTGAGTTGGTTGAACACCTTTTTATGCGCAAACTCATAATGACGAACATCATCGCCAATTACATATAGGAAAACAAGCTTTTCTTAGTCATAGTCTGCTATTTATTTACGACATACACAGGGTGTTATTAAAATTATATCTCAGTTTAAATTTCTCGTCAATACTCTGGTTTTTGATTAAAAGGAAAGTTAAAAAAGTAATATAGATGATGCATTCTCGTAACATGTCCTTCAATAACGATATCCACCACTGAAGTCATTCTTAGAAAACGAAATGCAAAAAAATTAGAAGAAAACGAGAAACTAAAATCTGGAATCTTTTGTGTTTTGGAATCCGGAATCTGCACAGGTAGAATCCGTAATCCAGCAACTGGAATCCGGGTTCCACAGCATGGAATCTAGAATCTAATACTGTCCTGGATTACCTTACATGGGGCGAAATGTTTTACACCCAACATCAGTATCCTTACTGTTCCCCTTACGTATACAAAGGTGCTGACAAGGAGGAGTTGTTGCAAAATCAAGAGCCTCTCTGGCTGGAGATCGTTTTCTTTATTCTTGTGACTTCATTGTTTGATTCAGGGGTGAAACTGTAAGGAAAAATCAGATGCTAGTCACTCGTATAGGTTAAAGAATTTAGAATGATGATCACGTTCACCCTCCGGCTGTTTGCTTTTAAAAATGAAAATAATTTAATGTGTGCTCTATAAAACTGCACCTCAAAGGAAATTCTAAGCGTGACTGATGACCCAGAGAAATTCCGGGTCTTTTGATGGCTCTTTACCTAAGTCTAAATTAACAAAATGAAAATTCTGTTAAGTTTACACTCAAAAAAAAAAAAAAAAGGAATTCTCATTCAAAATGTTTCTCCCTCTCTCTCTTAAATAAACCATCTCGCTTTCAAATGGTCAAACTACAGTAATAAAATGAATAGCAAAGAAGCCATTGCGTGGAGAAAAATGGACAAATATTATTTCCTACAGTTGTTGAATAATAGCAGGGAGAGGTTTGCACTTATTAAAAACTTATAAAGTGGTAATTGATCTTGGTACTCAATTTCGTTCCGAAATCATCGTTTTGAGTACGTTCAGTTTTTGAATCACGGGTATAACTGAGTCCAAGTTGCATTCAGCTTACTTCAGTTACCAATATTAATTGACCAATTAACAGTCAGGAGTGCACTCTTCTCCGAGTCCTGTAATGGTTTCACTACAAGTCATTTGTTTCAAAAATTACCTCGGAATTAATTTGAGGCCCGGTTTCTGAACTTTCCTTTCAGAACCTTCTGCTGCTCCTTTAAATGTGACAGGACATAACACCAGCTCAACCAGCATCTTAGTAGTGTATGGTGATATTCCAGCTTTTGATCAGAATGGTATCATCACGAGTTACACCATTACTTACCAGTCACTAACAGAGGGTAACAATGGGAGTGCTATAGCTGGTCCCAATGACCGTCAAAAGGAATTAACAAATCTTAGAGAGTACGTCGATTACGAAATCACAGTACTTGCGTCGACTTCGAAAGGATATGGACCACAAAGTAGCCCTATTCTTGTTAGTACAGACGAGGATAGTAAGTACTGTTATTTTCCAAATCTCTTGTCTGTGATAAATGGTTTACATCCAACATCAATATGCATATTCTCCATACTGTTCCCTTTACATATGCAAAGGTGCTGACAAGGAGGGCTTGTTGACCAATCAACAGCCTCTGTAGCTGCAGATCGTTTTCTTTATTGTTGTGACTTTATTGTTTGATTCAGGGGTGAAATTGTAAGGAAAATTGGATGATAGTCACTCTTAGGGGCTAAAGGTCTAGACTGATGTTTACGTTCACCCTTCAGCTGATTGCTTTTAAAGATGAAAATAATTTAAAGTGTGCTCTATAAAACTGCATCTCAAAGGAAAATCTAACTGTCACTGATGACC